TTCCCCAGTGCCAAATGGAACAATACAGGTCTTAAAAGGAAAGCAGAGGGGAAACATGGTAGTCGTTCTATTAACAAACTAGAGATACATTAGATGATGGGCTAAGTAAAGAATCAATGAAAGCCAAATTAAAATGTGGTGGATCCAACCATTCTCCAAGGAGCCTTCCACCAGCCTAATGAGCCTTCCTTCTACTTAAGTGGCTCTTCCTCCATTAGGAGAGCCACTTACATTAAGTCTCCTTAGGCTAGAGGAAGGCTTCAAACTTTGCTCCCTAGAATGGGAGGGTAGTGGTAGGAGCCACCCCAATGTCACCTAGCAGATGGGGGGCAGGAACCCCCATAAAACATTATGCAAATGATCTGGAGACAATTCAGAATGTCAGGACAACTGGAAGTTTCAGCTTTAAAAGTGTTCTTTGTAGCTAGGCTTTCTACTGCTTTGTTTTGCGTTTTGTCATGAATTAACTGTCATTACAGCAGTATTTAAGTCATGTTGAGGCTATATAAATAAGATACCATTAAAAGCATAATGAACAAGAATCTTCTGCACATATGCTTCCCATAAAGATACTTGTAATTGACGGCTGCATCCTTGGAAAATGTGCTCTTACTCATTTAAATGGCATATGTACCATGAAGTTACCTAGTCCTAATGCAAAGAAAATCTTATGTGAAATATTGAAAGTTTGTTGAGTGGATCAAGAACGTACATAATTGTTTTAGAATGTCATCAGGAGTTACCATTCTTTCACAGGAGACAGTCCAGTTATAATCCTGGAGTTACCATTCTTACACAGGAGACAATCCAGTTATAATCCATATATATATATATCCTTTACAGGCCTGATAATCCAGATATATATATCTCCTTTACAGGCCTGATAGAATGGTTCCACCAATTAATCAATTCATACTCCCATTACATTTATTTGTACAGGATTATGTTAACATTAGGGGAGGCTGCTTAGACAATCAGGGATTTGCTGCAAACCCTGTGAATATCATTAACATGGAGGCTAAAACATTAAATCGTTTTTTTAAAAAATCAGTCATGATTTTATTATCCCATGCTGAACATTTCCTACAACTGAACATGGAAATAAAAATCAGGAAGGCTTACAACTGATTCCTGTCAGTGCCTTGAGGTTTTTAGGGATAACTTTACATATCAAATGAAAAGTCCAACAGGAGATGCACAGCACAGAATACAACATTTTTAAAATGACCTGTTTCAGGAAAAGCAAAGAAAACAATCCCCCTAAGTTTAATGGAAATGGGTTCAAGGTCACAGCTATATACAAGAAACACAGATGCTTTATAGTATCAATCTTGAAGCATCTGTGTATAAAATTCAGCTGAGTGCCAATGATCAGTAGGTGTCAGTTGGCTTCCATTTGACAAGCCATTCACCAAAATCTCTGTCTTGTAAGAAGTTCCTGGCAAAACAGTGCTCACATGCATACTCTTATGTTTTGGGGGTCTTACAGTATTGCTGTTGTTCCTTGCCCACTTGGGTTGCTTTGAGATCTAGTGTGTCCTGAGCCAAGAACTGGGAACTGGCATGTGAGCTCACACATGTTGAGAAGCTGCATCCTCTTCCCCTGCCCGCCCACTCTAGGCAATAGGCCCTTGTCAGGATTCTTGACAAGTGTCCTCCAGCACAATGCAGTGCACAGCTAGTATTCTAACCCACAGAGCCCTCTGGCCCAGAGGACACCAGCTTTTCGAGATGGGCAGTGCTCAGGGGCCCCAGCAGCCTAGTGTCAGCCTAATGAGCAGTGAGCCAGGGACTCTTCCCAGCTGCTTCTCTAGACGAGAAAAAGGATCGCCAGCCAGTCAGCTATAAATGCCTCACTTGTTAAGTTCAGAGAATGTACTGCCACTCCCATGCATGATGGTGTTAGACCATTCTTTGAATTCGGACTCAGGACAAGGAACCAACGTCTCAGTAAAATACAAATGAGGCAATGCAGAGAAGTCTTACCCAAGAGATCCACCCTATAGCAAAAACTGGATGCCTGTCGAGAAGTAAAGAAGCTGAATTGCTGACAGAAGCACGGCAGCCAAAGAAAGGCCTTTTCTTTGGCTTTTATTTTACCAGCCCCTTTGGATAGAAAGGCTTCCCAGCTGTAGGAAAGGGTCCTGCCCCATTTGAACTCTCTATAACCTGAACTCTGATATCTACAAACTTCTCAGATGGTGCATTCTTAAGATCACTTAACACATTTTACCTCTTAACACGTTGTAATAGTCTGTACTCAAGATGGGCTTCTTTTCACGCGCTGCCTATTCAGATCTAGCATGGTGCTTGCAATCTGATTTAGTGGTGCTGAGTACAGAACCAGGAGATGGTAGTCAGATTAATTAACCTGGAATAAAAGGGTGTGATCTTGTGATGTGCCCTTGGACATGGCTAGGCTCTCACATTGATGCATACTAGAAGGAGCAAAATCCTTACAAATCTAAATATCAAGTAGATTGAAAAGGCTATAGTGGAGAGGTTAGGATGTGTGTGTGTGGATACTGATATTAGGCTTCGCTCATTCTAGAAAACATACACGCAAGGAAATTCCCTGAATGGTGGTGAGCCTTCAGGAGAAATGAACTTACACAGTGAAAAGATAAATACCCCAGAATTCTCATCTAACTACCTGCAATTAACTAAGCTTTCAAAGTTATCTGGATCCTGTTGAAATGTAATTTGTGTGTTTTATGATTTTTGTAACACCTGCTAACTAATCAGTTGCATGCACGGGATTCTGTTCTGTGCACAAAACATATTCTCTCTCCATGAAATAATATGATTGGCAGAAATTGATAACTGACAAAGCAGATTGGGGTCTCTATTCAAAACATCCCTTTTGTGTTGTGATCTCTATGTAATGTTTTCCACCGCATTAAAAAAATCTATGTTTTATAAAACCCACTCTCCTTATTTCTGCTCCAATTGTGTGTATGTCTTCATTGAAACTATGTTGTGCCTTTTGTGTCATAGCTACATTTGTAATGGGAGCGGTTTATGTATCTGGATCCTTTTACAGAATCAGCAAAATAATCTCTAACTCAGAGCATACACAGTTCCTGCCGATTACAGACAAGCAATATTTGCTTATATAGCATACTGAGCAGGAAGAAAACTGTTCTCGTGTGCCTTTTACAAAAGCAGCTTGTATTGCTTTCCCTTTGTTTTCGAACTCCTGAGCATTGCCTTTTACACATCATCAGATCTCTTTTTCCTTGCAGCATGGCAAGTAACAGCTGGACCACAATGAACCTCCCTTCTGGATGTGGGAATGTTTATATTTCACTGCCAATGACTAAAGGCCTTTAGCTTTCAGTAGCCAGTCACAGTTTGCATTGTTGTTGCCTGTTTATTTGGCTTCTCTCATTATTTCTTGACATGTACCTCTCCAGTTTCACTCACACTCTTGTAAAGTGCATTGAAATATTAACCAGGTATAAATTCCTTGGAACATTACACTCTGAACGTCTTTGTGGATGCACAAGTAGGGCTCATTTTGTTAGGCATTTTTGTTGTAAGCACACCAGCCTAACAATTTCATAAGAAGCAGACTGAAGGTGCAATCTTGAACCCAAATATTCAACATTAATCTAATTAATTAATGTGAAGAAGTGCAGCCTCACTGCCATAAATAGCAATTGCTAATTGTCTCCATACATCTACATATATCCCGCAAAATGCAGACCTTCCATAAATGTTAATGTTTTTTCCTATTAAACATCTCTTTCTTGACATATACTTTTGTATAACAAGGGGAAAGGTCTGTTTTTATAGCTATTACATACTGAGACTTTCATACATAGCTCTGATTTTCCATCAATCTGTTATCTTTTTAGCTAAAATTACAGGTAAAGTTATAAAATCTATAAAATTAACAACTTGAGGCCCTTCAATATTTAAAAATGGAAAATAATTTCAAAATAAAAGCTTGTCTGCATAAAAATGTTAAACCTAACAAGGGAACAAAATTTGCCACACCACACTATAAGGTTAAAAAGAAAATTGTATAATAAAGGAAATACAAAGGCTTTGGCATGGTTTTTACAATCAACAATGGTTAATTTTGATATGTCGTTGTGAACAACTTCAAAACACTTAAGTTTAAAACTCTTGCAAGCACTTTTAATTGATTAGGAATGAATTCTAGATGCACAAAAATGATTGGACTGTGAACAGTAATACAACTATAGCTAAGAACAATTAACTTTTGCAGACCAAAAAAGAAACTTTTGATGCATGAAAATGTGTATAAAACATCTATAGAATATTCTTGTCAAATATAAATGAAATTAACTTTATTATAGAAATCATTCTGGGAGATTTCTAGGGAAGACAAATACTTACATTTTGACATAAAACAAATTGGATTATATCGAAGACACAATCTACCCTTTTCCTATGAAACATTTCTTCCTTGAAATTCTTGTTTAACCCTTGTTTGCACATAAGGATTCATCTGTCAAACTTTGGAAATCCCAACAGATTTTTTACAGAAATCTACTGTGTATTGTTCCAGGTTGAACTATATGCAATGGGATGATACAAATTTGGAGCAGCAGTCTGAAATCTATGAACAGATTGGTAGAAGTATTCGATATAGCTTGATAAAACTCTTAATTCGTGGCAAAGTTCGTTGATCATGGCTTCCTTTTTTTTAAAAAAAACAACTTCATGACCAACACAAAAGCAAACATCCATTCAGTCTACATTGTTCTTTTTTCATTATAACATACAAATGCCCATTTACAAATAATACACCAAAAATGGATAAAAGTTTGGATACCAAAATGAAGATTTGTTCCAAGTGATATAATGCCTTCAGTATACAAAGGTCCATGTTAAAGTCTTTCTCCATGTGTTGCATCATAGGGCACAGTTGCAGTACAGAAGTACTTTGAAAGCCATTCTTCTTTTAGAAAATACAGCTGAACATCCAACTGTTGTCCATAGAGCCATTTACAAAATCAACACATGGTTTACTGTAATCTTGGCCAATATTGAGACATATCGGGTTCACTGCCGGGAACTTGAACAGGAACTGATACTCCAGGGGAAATAAGACCTTTTTTTAAAGAAGGAAGATAATATATAATACACAGACTTATTCAACTTTTCTGCATGCACTATGAAAAGGGAGTTTTAGGACTCTTGGTTGTATTCTGAATCTTAAATCTATTGAACAACTTGTACATTCTATAACTGGGTTTTGGAAACCTTCAGAACATCTGCAATCTAGTAATAGCTAAAGATACAGATCCATTTATTCCTGGAAATGTGTAAAATTTAGAACTCACTGGAAATTTGGATAAATAACTAACACCATCATGACTTTATAAGGACAACAGAGAATAACTTCACATAAAGAACTGTATGACAATGGTTCTGATCACAGGAGTTTTACAGGATTTGTTTGTTTTTGGATATGATCCAATCAAAGTTAAGCACTTTGAAGTCCCACAGTGCATAGAGTTAAGAACATAAGAACATAATTTTCCCATTGAAGTAAAGAAATCCAGATTAATTTTGCTGGATTGTGCCCTTGGATTCCTATCCTGCCCTACTATGAAGATTAAGTACTGTCACATGAGAACTAGAATCAATGTTTTTTTAAAAGAAAGAGAGAGAGAGAGAGAAATTAACAGTGCAATCCTAACCAGGTCTACTTGGTAGCCTGCTCAGCTTAACCCTAGGAAAGTGTTTTTAGGATTGCACTGTGACAGTTTCTACATTGCACATCACAAATCTTCCTCAAATCCAAAGCTCCTTGTTAACCTTTGTGTGTTGAGCCACCTGCCTCTGCTGAAATAAATGCAGAAACACAAATCTGGGGGTACATTATATATACCCATTGGGGTTCCTATGACCACCAGGAACTGCTGTATCAGGGCACTTGTGATATAATGATGAAGAACTAAAACCTACAAGTTATTTATAACAGCTGAGATCCAGAGTAAAAAATAATTGCTTATTATTAATCTTACAGCTTTATACATGATACTTGTTTACTTGATCATTTCTGACTTTTAGGAAATGATCCTACTTAGTTGCCAGCAAATTGGTCAGAAAGTTCTTGCATGTTCCATAATTATTTATTGCTCTTAATTACACTGATTCGTTTTTTAAGATGCTAGTAGGATATTTTATATTCGTTTTTAACTATCCTGATTCTGAGTTACAACTAGAGGAAGGAAGGAAGGAAGGAAGGAAGGAAGGAAGGAAGGAAGGAAGGAAGGAAGGAAGGACAATTAACACATTGAGAAAAATTATAAGACCCCCTTCAAAATAGTTAAGAAAGGAAAGTGTTTTGATTTTAAGCCCTGGATAACAGCATTTAAGCCAATGACGGCAGGATTAAGCTCTCCATAGAAATCTAGTCTTGGCCGAAAACTTCCTGAATGCATTAATCAAACCATTTAGGGGAAATAGCCTCTGTAAATTCTCTTTGAAGAAAAAACAACAACAATGGTTGCTTACCTGTTGAGGTGGTGCCAGAGGTGCCCATTGGCTGGCTGTTCATATGTGTCTGCATGTGAGGAGGGGTGTATGTATCATAGCTCCTCCCATTCACTGACGGACTTGTGGGCAGCATGCAAGAGTAAGAGGAGGTCTGGCTGGGTACTGGGGGCTGTGAGAGGAAAGAAGAAAGAATTCCTTGTGAATTACAGCTGCAACATACATGCATTATGTCTTTTGTATATTCTGTCTTGTGGTCAGTGCAAATGTCTTCTCCACAAACTCAAACATAGTGTTTCGTTTCATAGATTGCATGCTTCCGTATGTTTCAGTGGAGGCAACTGATACCCTTCAATATCTACAGATTGGTACTATTTCCTGAATTTATGATTTATTATACTCATGTCCTGCTTTTCCTTTCAGAAACTCTGAATGATCAGTTCAGCTTCAACAATGCCATGCAACTAAGTCCTCTTCTCTAGCATACATTGAGCAGGGAACTTCAACACCACAGCGGAACTTTCATACAGTCACTGAATATGTCCATAGTCAATATTATGTTATACCATACGAATTGAACTAAGATCTCTTAGAGGTGCCAGAGTCACAGTCGGTAGGAACCATCCTGTCTGTATAGTGGGAATCTGACCAATTGTTCCAAGTTCACAAATACCCATATGCAAGCCTTACAGTGAACACACAAATAGAAAATATGTTATTTAGAGAACTATCTCTAAGTCTCCTACAACTCACTGGGTTAATTGTGAATCACAGATTTAGCATCTTGAGGAATCCTGAGTGGAAGTGAAAGCCATATCGTTGAAGAGCAGTACTGAAAGACCTGAAGTCATTCTTAGTCTGTGACAATGTAATCTTGTAGTCCTTCTAGCACAGTCCGATCTCTCCTTATATATAATTGAATAGTGGGTGCCAAAGTTCTAATTCTAAAATGCACTCCCTTAGTGTATGGCTGATGGCACTGCTCCTCAGCATATATCGCCACCAATCAGAAGGCAAAGCCCGGGTCCCGCCCACACCACAACTGCTGCGACAACCTGGTCTTTTGCATATGGAAGCTGATTGGACTTCACTCCATTCCACACCTCAAACTCCCCCCCCTGCAAGGCAGTTGGAATGTCAGTTGCATATGGAATCTGCTGTATTCTGGTGGTGTGCAGGTCCCAGGTTCATGTTTTAAAAGCAGACTGACACTGTTTGCCCAAAGCCAGAGCACTCTCCCAGAGCCTCTTTCTAGATCCCGTTGTATTTATTTCCACAACGGGCCTTATTTCTAGTATCTACATAAACCAACAACTGTAGTGACATCAGTATTTATGAAACAATAACAGTTTCCATCCAAATGCTTAATGTTAACTGGATTGCTGGTTGGGATGACCTTCTATACATCTGTGTGTGGTTACATTGGCAAAATATGATACGATGCTCCTATTAGTAAATTTTAAACATATACAATACACTCAATTCATCCCATTAGTTTTTCTCCCAATTGTGCAAGGCCATGCATGAAAGGTGGGGACTTCGGTCAAGATAAGCTCAAAGGAGTTTTATGCTTAAAGCATTTTAATATTCACTAAGTTTTGTGCATCTTACTTTGTAAATTCTTTTAATTTTCTAGAGTTCTTTTGTAATGCTGGGTTTTAGATTTCTGTACCATACTAGCTAAGGAAAATACTACATGTCCTTCCATATTAGACTGAAAATAACAGTTCCCTCTATTGTGTTAGGAATATTATTTTGATAGCAAAAATAATTTTAATGTCAAATTATACTTTAGAGACCCAGATTTCCCAATATTTGTCTTTGCTACATCCTATACATACAGCTCTGGATCTCTTGCAAGCATAGTCAGATGGCCCAGTTCCCCATTATTTAATGAACAAGAAGAAGAGAAGAAGAAGAAGAAGAGATTGGATTTATACCCCGCCCTTCACTTGGAGTCTCAGAGTGGCTTACAAACTCCTTTCCCTTCCCCTCCCCACAACAGACACCCTGTGAGGTGGGTGGGGCTGAGAGAACTCTGACATAAACTGCTCTTTTTCAAGGACAGCTGTGCCAGAGCTTGTGACTGACCCAAGGTCACATCAGCAGGTGTAAGTGGAGGAGTGGGGACTCAAACCCGGTTCTCCCAGATTAGAGTCTGCACACTTAACCACTACACCAAACTGTTTAGCCCCAATCTTTGTCCTCTAGTCCAACTCTCACTGAAGTAAACTCCACTGATCTATCACCATTATCCATTCTCTGACATTTAGCTCAACAGTGTAACACCGACCCAATGTTAGGAGCTTCGGTTCTAAGTGCAAGGACCTGCCTCTAAGATCACAGTCATTATACATGTTCTATCCTGTGCCGGTCCACAGATAATGCTGGATTTTAAATTTCCATTCAGCATCTACCCTGCAAGTGTGGGATAACAAGTAACATAGCACCAACTTCACCTGGATCATCTAAAGTAGTGATAAATAGACAACACTTCAAGCAAAGCTACATAATGCCCATAACTTCACTATCTCCCGATGAACATAGTTGCATGTATAAAGCTGACGTGGACCCCTGAGTTGTATTCTTTTCCCAAACCAGCTAGTTATCTACATGCTCACAAGCATGAAGGTTGGCAGCTCTATCCATTTAACACAGCTATTTAGAACTGCAGGTGCTGTTCACATCCTTCTCTCCCTCTTGGGCATTTCTCAGGTGCCAATAGCCACAGTGTCTCATCAGCCAAGGTGTAATCCTGCTAGCATTTTAATAAGCTCATTCCATCAGCAGTGCTGTACTAATGAGTTTCTCTGGTTAGGTGCATTTTCCTTACAGATATTTTTCTTTTACTTGACTGAAACTTTTGCCTCTTGAATGAGCCCCAATAAACTTTAATCACTCCATTTATCTGTTATTTTTCATGATGTTATAAGTTATGTCCTTTCTCTTGTCTTGCCTGGATTATGCCATTCAAGGTTTGTAACTCTCCCTAGTTCTTGCCTACCATTTACTATCATGATCCAAATTGGTGGTCATTTTGGTAGCTCTTTCATTTTGGTGCCTCCTGCGATGTTGGAATCATTAGCAGTGGAGCTTATAACGAAGCATGGTCCATTATATGTGGTAGCATTCTGGCATCTCTGAAGCCTCAAGTCTGTTTTCCGTATGTGCAAAACTGACAACACTACCCAGGAAACCAGCCTTGCACTCAGAGCCTAAGTACAGTGACCTTGGTTCAAAAGAACTTAGTTACACCCAAGTCCTAGTAAAGCTAACGAGGCAGCAATGGTTTCCAGTCCCTGTATATTCAGCGGAATTTAAGAACATTCTCTGGATTGGAGTCAGTGGCCACACAGATTTAAGCTAATTTAGGACATGTTGAAATCACATTTCATTCTGCATTGGATTGATGCCATCATGTGGAAGTAAGTTCTATTGATTTCTATGCAAAGTGTTCTTCTGAACCAGGCACCACTCATATAGTCCTATGGGGAAACACCCATGGATTCTTTGAGAGTGAAGAATGTACCCTTTGCATCCAATCGGCAAAGATCCATGTAGTCATAAATCCAATTCAATTTTTCTCTTTGATATCAGACTATCACGCAACTTCCCTGCTAAGCAACTGCTGGACGCCCAGAAACTTGTCTTTTAGATGCTTCATAGCTTATGAAATCAGGGTCTTAAAGAACATAGTTTTGTGATTAATTGTAAAATTAATTTATTCCAGAGTCAATTGATCTACATTAACTATTGCCCCCTTTTCCATTCCAATAATCAGTGGCGCCATTTAAAATGGGCTTCTAAGAAAGAATTAAAAGAGTGAGAAGGTGCTAAATACAAATTAAAACACAAAATCAAAGTAACAAGCATTGAGGAAAGATGCTTATTGCTAGGAGTTAAAGAACACATCCATCCCTGCTGTAAAACATCAAAAATAGGCCCGAGCAAAGCATGTGCCAAAAGCAGCAGTAAGATCATTCTGCAGAAATCAAGAACTAAGCCGCGTACCAAGCCCCTAGCTGCCATTTTGCACTGTGTTCACATGATTTAACTGACAACCCCATTTTGAACTAATATGGGTCCATTTTTGTGATACACCAAAACATTTTAAGTAACAAAGAAAATCTGGAACAATATAATCATCTACCATTTGTAAATTTCATTCTATAAAACCTTAGCAGTATCATGTTTGTTCCCACAGACCTCTTGAAACAGTGACTAATACCAGCCCACAGTATGGCCAAGCAAGGTTGTGAACTACATCTCAGATCAACAGTATATACACCACTGCACAATTGGGAGGGTCCAACACAGGACTGCCTGAGAATATGTTATGCATCTTATGAGGCACACGGATGACAAATTTATGCATGATCAAAATATCACATGGAAGCCATTGACTGAATAAATCCCTGCGAAAGTTCACAATTGCCGAATTATGGTGCTGAGATCTACTCACATACTCTGGTGTGATCCTATTGAAATAAATGGGAGATGTTTGCAGTAGGCACCTTAAAGGCAGCAAGATCCTTTACCCATCTCTCATACAAAAAAAAAAAAAGATGGACTTTTCACCATTTCGAAGAATGGATAGTGGTTGTACTCTGATTCGAAGCCTAGAACTATGTGGTAGTAGTTATTCCAGAGTAGTTCAAACAGAACATGTATTAACTCATACCTGACACAGGGCTTCCCATTTGTAAAGGGAAGCACTCCATTAGTTTCCACATGGATTTATAGATAAGGAAGTTTGGCAACCATTTGATATAGAAATCCCTTTTACCATTGAAAAACTCCCGTTTTTAGCAGGGATTAACATCCTCCCATCCCACTTCAAATGATAAAACATTACCCAATAATCACTCAGTTTGTAGAGAGCATATTAGTGGATTATACTTACTTGCATAGGCAGGTTGTTAGCCATTGTGAAGCTAGGCATGGGTGGCAAAGCACTGTATGTGTTTGTTAGCGCGGTGTCTGTCCTGCCCAGCATTGAACCTGATGTGAAAGAGGAAACTATAACAGAATAGATAGACAGAGAGGATGGCTGTATTAGTTTACACTTCAATCAGATGACTGTATTACAGTATCGCCCAGAAAATTCGAGTGACCAGTCAATATCTTTCTTTGAGCATATTTACCAGGTGTTGTGGGTTGGGGGATCGGTTGGTAGACACTTGTGCTGAAACTGCTACTTATGGGAATGTGACTGGGGGTGTTGCTGGCTTGCCTTCTCTGATTCCTTAGTTTCTCTTCCCGTCTCCACTTTGCCCTCCTGTTGGAAAACCACACCTGCAAATACAAGATAAGTTGTATGCCAATAAAGGTACTGAAACTGAAGCTACAAGTTAAGTCCCATCATCACAGTTAAAAGAGTGTTGTATCCCACAGACATCTCAGATCTGCGTCCATAGAAAAGAAGAGCGGACCCTTGCAAATAACCTGCATCCACTTATCCATTTGTTACCGAATGGAGTGAGGCTAAAGGCTTAGCACTCAACATGCAGGGCTATCCGCTCCATCTTTCCACAGCCACATTAAGATGCAAATGCAGATGCACATTCACTATGCATCCGTATTACAATATACATCTGAACCTAGATGAGATCTGGAAGTGACACCGCTGTCTGCACTCTCCCATCTCCATGTGTGCCCCCCCTCCCTCCCCACATGATTCTTTCTTTTGGACAATGATAATAGCTGCAATGGAGCCTGTGTCTTCCCTCCTGAAAAAAACCATGCGTGTACTTCTTTCAAGACTGAGGAAAGGGGGGGGAGGAGAAAAAGTGAGCCAAGCACAGAGGAGCAAGAAATGGTGTAGCTATTTGGGTACCTGTATCCTTGCTTCAGGTAAGTCTATTTTGGCAGCTAGTCTCTCTCTGGCAAACACGTCAGGGTAATGAGTTCTCTCAAATTCTGGTGTAAAGGAAAAGTATAGAATTAGTGTTAAAAATAGGTTTCAGAAAGAACAACCACATATTGCTTTCAGCCTACTGCACGATTCTTTTTTAGCACACTCTCTGCTTTAAATCATTTATGAGGCATATTCCCACAAAAGGGCTTTCGAACAAGGTAGTATCTGAGTTTATTTCAAAAGTGAGAGATGTCGTGGTTCAGCGTTCACTCTCTCTCACCACCCACCCCACCCATAAATGCACTTGCTCTCCCATCCTGGAGTGATGTGATTAAAAGCTGAAACCTTTGGACTGTGTCCAATGGTAGACGATTAAGGAGAAACTGACATGTTCCTCTGTGCTTGGGATATGTCAGCAGGTCAGTTAATGCATTTTCCCTCCTAACATTTAAACGATAAACCACAATATCTTAAACAATATCTTGACGTCTCAGCCCATAATCAGAGCTGCACCAAGAGTCAAAGCCCCTAATCAGCTGCACCAAGTCTACTACAGGCCGGGGGTGATTAAGCTGGAGCAGATCAAAATAAGATTTGCAGCCACGGTGCCCCAAGCAATCCCTCAAGCACAGCTGAGAAAAGGAAGATGAAGACTGAGGCCTTAGTTCACCCAAACAGCCTGCACCGCATCCTTGGGAGCATGTGACCGTCAGTGCAAATTTGGTTTATCATTTAAACATTGAAGAGATGTTCCAGAAACTTTTGAGATTTTCATCAGTTCGTATCAACACCCTTTTCCCCCCATCTGGCAAACTGGATTTGGGGCAGGCAATGGGATGCACTCGCTTTGTTCAGCGCATGGGAAATGCCACCCACCTTTCTCAAGCGCTTCTATTTGTTCTTGGGTGAAAGATGTCCGATTTCGCTGCAGTTTTCTTTTCAGCTGGAGTCTCATCTGTGCCTCATCTGAATCTTCACCGTTTGAACTGATGGAGTTGGTATTTTCACCCCCTCCTTCTTGCTGTGGGCAGCCATCTACAACACAAAGAGGATAGGCCATGCTGTACAATAATAAAGAAAGTTGGTCCTCGCAAGCAATCTGTGTAGGTAGCCTCTTATAGTCCAATCAAAACTTTGATTTGTTCTGATCCAAAGCATATTTCAGGATAGTGCAGCAATCCAGAGGGTGCAATCCTGTGTGTGCACACCTGACTGCAAATCCAACCGAATTTATGTCTGAATAAATATGTAAAAGGGTCAGCCTGCACATCTCACTGAAGTCAGATGGGATTTACTTGCACATCGTCACTCAGATCCACTTAGCTTTTGTGGAGTGTGGAGCTTTCCCATTGGAAAGGGTGTACAAGAGGAAGTTGTCCTCTAAACTGAAATATCTGCAGAAGCCTGTAGGCATAAAATTTCTGTGCATGCATGGGAGCATAGCCAGAGCTCTAGCCTGAGATCAGTATGCTTAGGGCTGGGCTGCACATTTAAGAGAAGGGAATAAGCTTAAGCCACACAGGTTTAACTGGTTTGTGGTTTAGGAGGGCCACACTGATACATATAGGACAACTCTGGTTTTGGAGACTGTTGAATCACCTTATTTTTTAAAAAATGCATGCAGCTGGAGGGAAAGAGAATAAAGTGTTTCTGCAACACAGTCCAGTTAAAAATGGAAGGAGACCAAATACAAACCAGGATGGGGGCACAATTAATGTTGGCTAAAGCAGGATGGAGTTAAGGAATATCAAAATAATAACATTTTACTATGCGATCCAAGAAGGGATACATATATTTGTCTGTCTGACTAATTCCTGACATCTCTTCTTGACCCCATTCTCAATATAACAAGTTTAAATAGAGTTTCAAGTAAATATGGTGGCATCTTTTGCAAAATGCCCTGAAAAATCCTTTGTCTGAGGAATCTATTTACCTATTGCTACATTTAAAATAGTGATGTTCAGTATTTCAGATTATCTGTAATCAGTAATTCCTATCTAATCAATTAGATGTTGATAGGTTTGCAGAAAATGCTATTAAGAAACCAAACCAAGCTTGTAATCTTTTTTAAAAAATATTTATCTAGTTTTGATTTGAATTCTGCACAGTCAATTTCATTTTAAAGGTTGTGAATTTAGAAGTGCCTGCATTGTTCTGCAGTTTTATTCAACTATTGTATGAGTGTGCATTGCCTTGACACCTATTACAGAGCACAGCTGTAATTATATCATCACCAAGAACAGGCTATAATTGCTGAAAATGGAATTTTATATTTAGATAAAAGGACTGTCCATTCTTTGTAATGTGTTGCACCAGAGAAAAGTAAGATTTCTTTTAAAATTTTAACATGTAATTTTAAAAAGAAATAGTAGCGAGTTCGCTAAGTAGCTAAATATGCTATTCTGCAGCTGAGCGCCTGGCATATCATTTAAGTGGTACATTTTTAATTAGGGCATTTCCACTACTTTTAATGTAATTTCTATCATTAAACAAGAGAAAGTTTTATTGTTTTCACATTGCTGCTGGAGGTAAAGATATGCTCGTGGTCTAGCTGTCTTTCAAAGTGTCTGCAGACACTGAGGGAAAGGGGGGGAAAGGGGGGGAAGGGGGGCTTACAAAAGGAACGGACATTTCTGTAGAGGCAGAGGAGAAGTTGTCAGTGAATTAACTCTCCCTTTCCTTTCAGAGCATAATTCAGAGTGGTTTTTGATGTTGCTAAATTTTTTAAAAAACCCCACAGAATTAGGAATTCTTTTTAACACAAACTTGCTGGAGTCAGGGAAAAAAGGGGGAGTTGCTAAAAATAAATGGCCAGCTCTCTCTCTCTCAGCTTGGAAATATATTTGTGGGAAATCACCTTTAAAGTAATATCATTTATAATCAGCTCACAATGGGCCCAGCCTTCAAAGGCTGAAGAGAATTGTGACAGGATCTGGTCGGGATCTTTTCAAACACTTTGAAATGTTTTAAAACCCCAACTTTCTCTTCCATTTAAACAGTTGGATTCATCTCCAGTGGTCACCATATGGGCGTTTGGAGATCTATTGAGATGACCACCAACACTTGAATAGAGCAGGAGCTGCTTTTCACCAGGACACAATGCCCTCCGAGTAAGGGAAACTATTAAACTCTTGGGGCAAGGAGGAGGGTTGGCAAACTTTCGTGGGCAGAATTTGGAGGACACAATCAGGCAGGCCCAACAAAAGGATTCTCTTGAGGCTCGCAGTGGCCCACATTGTATCACAAGGATCCCAGTCAACAGACTTTTCAGTGAAGTATGTTAACCTTTAGGCACAACTATCATTAATCACTGTCCCCTGGGCTCGGCTACTCAATGCTATTTAGGATTTTTTTTTAACTTTCTATAGGAGCCAAGGAAGAAAGAAAGAACACCCCTAAACTGGTGAATAGGCCAGCTCCATACACTGAGCCTGTTTACTCAACACCAGAAAAACGGGGGGGGGTAAAGGAGAGGGGGAAACTCGTTATCTAGGATTAGAGAAGTTTCACCTAACAGAGAAGAGCCCCAAGACAAGGGCCCTGTTTTTATTTGCTAGTCAAAGTCGGCAGCTGACTTTTCCAGTGTTTTCCGAGGAAGGGCACTTGTGGGTTTCCACTTTGCTTTTTAGAAATGTAGCTGGTCAGCTCAAGAGCTGCCCTCATTCGGGCGCCTGTTTTTCCTAAGCAATGCTGCTGGGATGGTGGACTGTTAAGCCTCTGGATCCCTTTGGCATCGTGGGTTAGAGAACTGAGTGCAAAACAACCACCGGTGTTGCACTAGTTCTCAGTGACTAACACACCTGTAAAGCAACAATCCTGATTTGGAAGTTCAGTGGGACTTAATTTAGAGAAAACATACTGAAGGCTCACACCTTCTGGTAGAGATGGAATCCCTTCCTGGGTGCCACTGCCCTATATCTGAGAGGGGAAAGAAGCAGAGGGCAACATGCACTATTCCTAACTGATGCTCTGTGCATGTGCTTTGTATCTGTTTGGCACGCCTATAAATGAGCTAATATGGGTTATTAATGGGCAGTAAGACCCACTGTTTGATAGTGTTCATTCACAAGTATGCCCCCGGGGTTACTGTAGCCTTATTCGAGTACGGGGACTTGGCACATGATGAATTTCCTACATAGATATCATAATACTCCCTTTGCTTGTGAGACTAGCTCATCCTGACCAACTTATTTACAGGGGGCAAAATAAACTAATCAGGATGTGCTGAGGATTTATGAACACAGGAGGAGGACTCTCCTGGGGAGGTTCCTGAATGGGGAGCACGGTAGGTAGGTAGGTAGGCAGGCAGGCAGGCAGGCAGGCACTTCCGCTCCACCAGCCTTCAGGTGGGGCTGTCACAAACAAGCGGACCGAGTGCTACTTCTGAACAAGCGTGTTTAGGATCGCCTGCGTTTCCCCAGTCGAACCGCTCTAAATCAGATCTCTTGCAAATTGGCTAAAGCAGGTTTAAAAGATTTAGCCCCACTGATGACTATAAAGCAAACACCACTGAACTGAATCAGGCACACACAAATCTGAGCCCATCGGGTCGTGGATCGCCCGGCGTAGAAACAAAGGCAGCCACCAGACTGCTGGGTTACTCTGTGAAGACCACAAGTCCCAGTCCAGCCCGAAGGACAAAATCGCCTGTCCTGGAAACTGCCCGGGCGGCCTCCACTGCTTGCGAGCTCCACTGCACATAATCTACAAGACACCAAACGTAGCATGCGTGTGTGAGTGTGTGGTTTCTGGCGGCGGCGGTGGTGGTGTGCGTGCGTGTGTAAAAGCATCTGGATGCTTCAGCTTTGTTGGGTATTACAACAAGTTGAAAACACTCAGTATATCTGGGGTTAAATGTTTGTTGATGTTACAGGAAGTCACATGTTTCTCATGTAACCAATGTTCTTTAGATGTAGAAAGCCCGGGAATTTTCTCCCTGATCTAGGAATTTGATTGGGACTAAAGTGTCAAGGTGTATTACCATTTTATGGCTTCGCTTCCCGTCTTTGTTTGATGTTCTGAAGAAGAAGAGTAGCCATAATCTCTCTCTTCTAGTTTTGTCTTTGTAGAGTAAGGATGTAGCCGATTATGCTCTGTTATGTTCATCCCAGTTACCCTCCCCATGCTAGAATTTAGTGAAAACTTTATATTTTAATCACACATGGACGCTAAGTCTGAATTATTTTACTCTGGCTCTGCTGGACTACCTTATCTCTGCTAAATACCATTTTTTCAATATCTCACTATCACCCAACAGGCTTTCAGCCCCACTTCAGCTAGTCCGTGGCGGTGTGCAGCCGTTCGGGTTGCTGTGTTGTCTTTCCGGTCCAACCCTCCGGAGCAGACCCCAACCCTGGATTCAGACTTGCTTTTGCTGAAAGCAGCTGCACAGTCCCCGTTGCGTTTGGGTGCGCGTGCGTGGCTGGGGCGAGGGGTGGTGGTTCCGCCCGCGGGCGGCTGGGGCTCGCGCCCTGGTCCCTGGAACAGTCCTCCCTCCCCCCCCCCGCGAGGAGACGGCCTCCGATCCAACCCGTGCGCATGTCTGCACTTAGTCATGCGTGGCCAAGGCCGCTTTCACGCGCAGGCGCCATCCATAACTGATAAACAAACCCCCGCTTTCGAGCGAGGCCGGGCGGGGAATCCCTCTTCTTCCAAGGTGAAAATGGCAGCTGAAATTTCCCCCTGAAAGATTCGAGGGGGATTCTTCCAAACCACACTCAAAACCCTCTTCCCCCACCCCCACCCCCACCGGCAGCCAGCACTGCTAAAGACCGTGAAGGCTGCGAGCTGGCTCCATTAAAGCCAACGGGAAATTTACCATTGACTTCAAGAGGATAAAGTTTGCGCCTTAAATCAAGGGCTCTTCATTTAGTATTTATTGCAGCCTTTTCGCTTGTTTTCATTCCCATTCCCCAGCTCCTCTCCAGACAACAACAACAACAAAAAAACCCTATCCACTAATGTCTGTTAAAGCTATATAAAGGTTTGATCTGGAAAAACAGATATGTTTTCTTTTTTAAAAAAATGTCAGATAA